CTTGCTCACTATCTCTCGTGAAACAATTTATTGAAAAAATATTAAAAATTGATATTAATATTATTTACATACTCTTTTGAAACATTAATACCTGCAAGTTACTGATACAGGAAACTGGTGTCAGTCTCAACATTTAGAAACTTTAAATGACATAGTTAAGTAGAATGCGAAGTATCGTTTAAACGTAAAACTAAAATTGTATAGGTTAACTAAACAATAGAAAGAATAAGTAACTGAAAACAAAACCATAACGAAATAAAAATTTGCTATCTCACAATCCTTCCCCTTTAGAAAAAAGGGGTTACATTAATAACTCCTTTTGAATTTCCAATTTTCGTATGCTTACTTTTGAGGACCTCATTATACTGACATCACTAATCCTGCACAGTTTAAGTACATATACCTTACAAAGAAAAATCTTAGTGTTCTTCCATCTTCAGCTTCTCTACCTTCTCTTTAAACCAAGATTTAAAATCATGAATCATTTACATACTATTTACAAACATTAATATTTACAAGTCACTGTTATGGAAAACTTATGTCAATCTGATACTTCACATTTAAAATTGACGTGCGTAACTAAACTGAGTTAACGTTTAAATGTAAACTAAAAATTCACAGCTTAACTAAACGAGAGAACGAATAATATATGAACGGTTAACAAATCCAAAACTAAATAAAAATTTAATTGTTACCTCACACTCCTTCCTCTTTAGAAAAACAAAGGGATTACATTAATCACAATTTAAAATACCCAATTTTATTATCCTTACTTTAACGCTCTCATTATAGTGACATAGTCAATCCTTAACAATTTAAATATAGATACCTTTCAAGGCGAAATTATTCAATTTTCTTCTATATTCGGCTTTATCTTTAACTTCCGGCTCTAGTTCAGTTTAACGCAAGTTCTGGGGTTCCAAGACCAGCTAATCTGTGATAATTAACTAAACTAATTACATCAAGAGATCAGAATTCATGTGATAATCACGTGCACACTTTCCAAACATTAATATCTGTACGTCACCCCTAGGGAAAATTGGCTGGAGTCCGATAATTTATACAATTTTAAAAGTTGATGTGATTAACTAAAAAGGAAGTTAGCGTTTAAATATAAATTAGATTAACAAATTAACTAAACGATAGAAGAAATAATTGAATGGTAAACAAAAGTATAACAAAATAAAAACGGAGTTTGCTATCTCACACTCCTTTCCTTTTCGAAAACCGAAGTTATTACATTAATCATTCCTTATATATTCCTAATTTTAGTATCCTTACTTTTAAGGCCTCTCAATATTTTGACATAATGAATACTTTACATTCAGTGTAGATACCCCACACGGAGAAATAATTAATGTTCATGAATCTTCGCTTGCTCTTCTCAAGTTGTGTTCTGGTTCACCTTACAGGATATACTCGAGTTCTGACACCAGTTAGGTTTAGGAGAAAACACCCAAATTATCAGTGAGATACAAAGGATGTGAAGTGGACACCCCAGAACACAAGTTTTACCTTTTGGGTTGGCAAAATCTCCAAGCTTTCTGATGACATTTATTTTCTGCAAGTACCTAGAGCGATGAGCATTTATTTACGTATCGAAAAAAAAAAAATAACTGGAGAAAGTGTATATTATTTTAGATAGAAAATTTATACTTTGATTACCATTATGGGATCTTTTAATCGATATAGAAATGGAGTAAAAGTTAGTAACTTCTAAAGTTCAGAAAAACCTAATTCTAAAACACCATTATTCACACAACTGCAATACTATTAAAACATCGAATAACATCCAACAAGAGTAACACCTATTCACTATCTCTCATAAACTAACTTACCAAACCTCATAGCACGTTTTTATTTACTATATTACAAATCACGTGATCGCAATTTACATACTCTTTTGGAACGTTAATAATATCTGTAAGTCACCGTTAGGGGGAAACTGATGTCAGTCTCATAATTCATACACACTTAAAATTGATATGATTAGCCAGAACGAGAGTTAGCGCTTAAATGTAAACTAAAAATTCACAGTTTAACTAAATAGTAAAAAGTAATTGTAAATGAACAATAATCAAAACCATAACAAAATAAAAATAGAATTCGCTACCTCACAACACTGCATATATATTTACTCTGTCTAGAATTCGATGAAAACAAACAAATATAATAAATACAAAGTAAATCAAGTTGGAAATGAATAAAACAGATAAATAGCAATGTAAATATACAATTTATGTTAATTTTATCTCTGTGATTTTTATATCAATATTAAGGGTTTACTTATTTTATTTTAATATCGTATATTTTT